ACTTTTAAAAAATAAATTGTCAAAAATATACTAAAACAATTAAAGTATATTTATAAAAAAATAAATTTAAACATCATAAAAAAATAATGTTCAGTTAGCGACCGATTTAAATTCGGTCGCTATTTTCTCATTAGCGATCGATTATAATTCGGTCACTATTTCAATTTGTAATTCGAGTCGCTAAATGATTTTTTTATTTTAGTGTGGAATAGCCACGATTTAGCGATCGAAATTTTGCGACGCAAACTATTGGTCGCTATTTCGATCGCTAAATAACAAAATGAAAACCAATTCATATTTTGGTCGCTAAATCGGTCGCTAATTGCGACCAAATTAAAGTGATCGCTGAATCGGTCGCTAATTGCGACCGAATTAAAGTGGTCGCTAAATCGGTTGCTAATTGCGACCAAAATTAAATCGGTCGCTAAATCGGTCGCTAATTGCGACCGAAAAAATTCGGTCGCTAATTTCGGTGGCTAAATGTGATTTTTCTTATAGTGCAGTTTCATAAGAAATTGATCTTTTATTGTAATTTCATAAATAGTTTGGACTGTAATTAGATAATCATTTATCAAATGTTCACAAACTATGAGTGTATACAACCTAAAGGATGAGAGTAAAAGCAAGAGATACAGATATTGTACTACTTAAAGGTTGTTATTTCATGTTCAAACCAGAATAAACGAGCAACGTTATTTCATGTTAAATATATACGAGGTGACATATATTTCAATTATATTCAAAGATATTTTAGATTATAAAAATCATCAATTATTTTATTTAGTTTATATGATAGATTGCTCAATAATATTTACAATTATTCTTTGAAATTAAATTTGGTAAGTTAAGATTTATTTTATTATCTATCATCTTTTTTCTCTTTAAAAATAAGTGCATAATTTTTTTCTTAAACATATGAAAGCTTAAACTAATTATTATTTTTTTGTACATTTTAACATCAATAGAGTATCATAAAATACTAAAACAATTGATTAATTTATAGAAATAATACTACAAAAAAAAGCCCTATTACCTACGGAATATTACCTACGGATACAAATCCGTAGGTAAATTTTACATTACCTACGGATATTACCCACGGATAAAAATCCGTAGGTAAATTTTACATTACCTACGGATATTACCCACGGATGAAAATCCGTAGGTAAAGTGTACATTACCTACGGATATTACCTACGGAATTCTATCCGTAGGTAATTATCCATTACCTACGGATATTATCCGTAGGTAATGTAATCTGTGGATAATTCCGTAGGTAATTACCTACGTAATTACTATCCGTAGGTAGAGTGTACATTACCTACAGATATTACCCACGGATGAAAATCCGTAGGTAAAGTGTACATTACCTACGGATATTACCTACGGAATTCTATCCGTAGGTAATTATCCATTACCTACGGATATTATCCATTACCTACGGATATTATCCGATATTATAGGTAATGTAATCTGTGGATAATTCCGTAGGTAATTACCTACGTAATTACTATCCGTAGGTAAATTATATTAAACTAAAAGAATTGTCACTAGCAAGAATCGAACCCAAGTACCTTAAAGTTGAAAATTGATACTTCAACCACTAAACTATTAGGATATTCTAATAATAATTTACAACTAAATTATACTTATATTAATTCGTGTAAATATATAAATATATAAATATAAAATATATAAATATAAAATATATAAATATATAAATATAAAATATATAAATATAAAATATAAAAATATATAAATATATAAATATATAAATATACAAATATATAAATATACAAATATATAAATATATTTATATATAAATATATAAATATATAAATACATAAATACATAAATACATAAATATATAAATACATAAATATATAAATACATAAATATATAAATACATAAATATATAAATACATAAATATATAAATACATAAATATATAAATACATAAATATATAAATGCATAAATATATGAATACATAAATACATAAATATATAAATAGATAAATATATAAATATATAAATAGATAAATATATAAATACATAAATATATAAATATAAATATATAAATATATAAATATAAATATATAAATACAAATGTATAAATGTATAAATATATAAATATATAAATATATCAAAATATAAATATATTTTATATTTATATATTTTATATTTATATATATTTTATATTTATATATTTTATATTTATATATTTTATATTTATATATTTTATATTTATATATTTTATATTTATATATTTTATATTTATATATTTTATATTTATATATTTTATATTTATATATTTAGACGGATAAATATAAATATAATTTATTTGTAAATTATTTTCAAAATATCCTAATAGCTTAGTGGTTGGAGTATCGACCTCTAACTCTGAGGTGTTCGAATCCCGCCAATGACAATTCCCTTAATCTAATAATAATTCAAAGTTTCGAAAATATAATAAATAATAAAAATATAATATAAGGGGAGGGGGTTGTAATAAATAAAAATATTTTATTTTGTTAAGGTGAGTGCATTACCTACGGATTATAATCCGTAGGTAATTACCGCGAGTGCATTACCTACGGATTATAAATCCGTAGGTAATTACCTACGGATTTTCTACGGAAAGAAATCCGTAGGTAAAGTGACATTACCTACGGATTTTACCCGTAGATAATAAGCGTTTTTTTTGTAGTAACCATGAACAATAGAGAAAAACTAAAGACAAAAAATTATAATGTTATGCTATAGAGATGAAATTATAGAGAAAAATGTGAAATTAAAAAGAAAAATTTGCAATTTTTAGATTATAAGGTGAACCTGTGAAAGAGAATAATATAAAAGTGAAACAGTGATAAAAAAAATTACAAATGTGAAGATAAAATAAGTGAGAGACAAATATGTAAGTAGGAAGAGTTGAAGTGAAAAAGTGAAAGTTGGAAGATTAAAAGATAAAAATGTGAGAATAAAAAAGATGAGAAAGAAAAATTATGAGTGAAAAATTCTAAGAGAGAATAAAAATAATATTTATTATAATTATTATTTCTATCTTTCGTGAAAGAGAAAATATAATAGTTAAATTTTATTTATATTTTAAAGGAAATTATTTAACTTTTATTATATATATATATATATATATATATATATATATATATATATATATAAAGAATTTTAGGAGATCATGGTCAGCCCACGTCCACCCTACTCTTTGTTTTTAGTTGGATCACTTCGTTTAATATGAATTGATCTTCTATTTAAATTTGACATAATATTAGAGTTTTCTTAGTATTACTTATACATTTTCTTATCTAAGATTGTCAAAATAGATTTAATCCAATGAATATGAAAGGTAAAAAAATAGGCTAACAAAATTACGGTCTAAATAGAACGAGGTTAATTTTGGTCCTATCTATTTAAGTCATGGTCTAAATGGGTTTAGGTTAGACTAACCCATAAATTAATGGGTTGACCCTTTTATAAAATAATAATTATTTTAAACATAAAATAAAAGTAATATTATTATATTAAAAAATATATATGTATAATAAGTTAATTGGATAATATATTATATTATATATATAATATAATATTTTAACTAATTTAGTATTATCTTTTGCAATAAATAAATATTGCAGTTTTGGATATCTTGGAAGGATTAATGGCAGAGGTTTTGTTATCCTTCAAAATAGAATACATGAACTTGTATTTTTTGAATGAATTTTTATTTACTTTAGTTATTTATGTTATGATATGAGACATTGATAAACTTATTTAAAAAAAAATTTAAACTTTGAGAAAGATAAAGTGTTGTAAGATGATTTTTTTATTATTTTATTTTGTTTAAATAAATTATGAATTAATTTTAAATAAATAAATGGATGACATATTAATTTTATATATTTTTTTTAATTATACCAAAAATGACTGGTTGCCTAACATAAGATTAGATTAGGTGAAAAAAATTGGTCCATATTAAAAAGAGTTTTACTTGACTTGTAGATCAGACCAGATTAAATTGGACCGTTTTGATAACTCTATTTTTAGTTGAAGAGGATATTAGAAAGAGTCTCGTATAATTTGTCTCAATTTCTCATACATATTATTTTACTTAATAAAATCTAAGGAATTAAAAATGGTTACTTTACTAAATTAAACATTTATCTTTTATAATATATATATATATATATATATATATATATATAATTTTTTTATAAGAAATCTCAAATCTATATTAAAAAAAATATTAAGTAGATGTAATATTAATTTAATTTTAAGAGGAGCAAAGTTTTATTTGACTTCAAAGGATTATATTATTTTAAAAATTATTTTAAGAAATAATTAAATTATTCCTTATCTTTGACAAAAATAATTAGGTAAAAAAGTACTTACCTCTTAAGGTATATAAGTATGAGGGAAGTTTCTTTAAAGAATTTTTATTAAATATTAAATATCTGTGTAATAATTAAATATACAATAACATTATAATATTATTTTATATAATAAAGCATTATAATTAAAAAACTACATTATTAAAATATTGACTAAAACAATGAAAAGTTAAAAGCCATGCCTACAAAGTAATCATTTTTTTATAAATGGGAAGTTACTCATTTGATATGATATTAAATCATAGCTATGTTTTCTCTATTTCTTTTAAATTAATTAGATGTTTTTAATTAAAATAAAATAAAAGAGATGAATACCATTTTATTAGCAAAAGATAAATGACTCTAATTAAAGACATAAAATAATTAAATGTTTATTTAAGAGGTTAGAGAACTTGTGGATTTTATTTTATTAAAAATACAGGGTAAATATATATCTAATTTAGTTTCGGGTAAAGTGTGGTGTGATTTAGCATGTCGTAACTTTCATAGTATAAATTGTCCATATATCCTCTCGTAAGCACACAGCCATACAAAGTCCCCTCCTTCTCCTTGTCTGTGTGCACAACCTGGCTAATATCTTACACAATATTTAGTGTGAAAGATGGCAAACAACAATGGTTCTTTACACATATTTTTCTTCCCTTTCCCGGCTCATGGCCATATGATGCCTTGCGTTGACATGGCCATACTGTTTGCTGCAAAGGGTGTGAGAACCACCATAATCACCACACCACTCAATGCACCCATCATCTCCAAAGCTATAGAAAAAACCAAAACTTATCAAACAAAAGAGATCAACGTCCAAACCATCAAGTTTCCTAGCGCAGAGACTGGTTTACCTGAAGGATGTGAACACGTCAACTCACTCCCTTCACTGGATTTATGGCTAGCCTTCCATAAGGCTACTAGGTTGCTGCAAGAGCCCTTTGAGCAACTATTGCTTCACCAGCATCCAAATTGTGTTGTGGCAGATATGTTCTTTCCTTGGGTAACTGATTCTACTACCAAATCTGGAATTCCCAGGCTGGTGTTCCATGGGATGAGTTTCTTCTCATTGTGTGCTTATGAAGTAATGAGGCTTTACGAGCCTTACAACAACACTTCCTTTGACTCAGAATTATTCGTTCTTCCCAATTTTCCTGGTGAAATCAAAATGACAAGGTTGCAGGTGGGAAATTTCTATAGGAAAGATGACGTTGAGGCTAAAAGATTTTGGAAGCAAATCCATGAATCAGAGGTGAGGAGCTACGGGGTGATCGTTAACAGCTTTTATGAACTCGAGAAGGATTATGCAGATCATTATAGGAAGGAATTTGGGAGAAAAGCATGGCCTATAGGCCCCTTGTCTCTTCGCAACAACGATAAGGTGCCAAAAACATGTAGAGGAAAAGATGAGCATGAATGCTTGAAGTGGTTGGACACCAAAACAAATGGTTCAGTTGTTTACGCGTGCTTTGGAAGTATGACTAAGTTTCCCGATTCTCAGCTTCGAGAGATTGCTTTGGGACTTGAGGCGTCAGGGCAAGAATTCATGTGGGTGGTGGGGAAGAGAAATGAAGGGAAAGAAGAATGGCTACCCGAAGGATTTGAAAAAAGAATGGAAGGGAAGGGACTAATTATAAGAGGCTGGGCACCTCAAGTGTTGATTCTTGAACATGAAGCTGTTGGAGCATTTGTGACTCACTGTGGATGGAATTCAACCTTGGAAGGAGTGGTAGCTGGGGTGCCAATGATCACTTGGCCTGTAAGCGCTGAACAATTTTACAATGAGAAGTTGGTGAGTGAGGTGCTTAAGATTGGTGTGCCTGTGGGTGTAAGAAAATGGGGTCACTTTGTGGGAGATAAGGATGTTGCCATCAAGTCGGATGCTTTAGAGATGGCTGTGAAGAGGGTATTGGCAGAGGAGAAAGCAGAGGGAATGAGAAACCGAGCAAAACTGTTCGCGCACATGGCGAGACGGGCGGTGGAAGAAGCAGGGTCTTCTGACTCAAATTTCGATGCCTTGGTTCAGGAGCTAGTCTCCCTTTCCCATTAATTGTCGATGATATAATGAACGTTCCCTTTTTGTTTGTGCCAAGAAAAAGTAAGATTTATCACCTTGAATAAGTTTCTATAAATAAAGGGTCTCAATTTGTATTATCTTTTATGATAAAAAAAAATTCAATTGAAACTGTTCTTTATTTTCATCTTAATTGTCTTGGTATTATTTCCTATCAAATATTTGAATAAATTTCTATCTAGAACCATTTATTTATTTATTAGTACTTAATATAATTGTAAAAGAGCTCAGAATCAAAATAACTTGTTAATGATGATTAACTCTGTTAGTTGATCTACATATTGGATCGCACTTGGTTATTTAAGTGATCATAACGTTGGTTCAAGATTTAACAACTAATTATGATTGATGCAATCATCCAGGAGTAAATTAGAAGAAAGTGGCACATCAATTGGTGAAAGCAACATCAAACACGAGAACATTAACTCAAGCAGTATAGAGAATTGAGTGTAGAGAATTGAGTAGTGGCATTGGTTCGATTCCAATATTGCAGATACAATTTTAAAATTTTATTCGATAGATAGTTTATATTGTGGTTTTTATGAATTGTGTTTAATTTTATTGCAATTTTTATAAATTAATTCTGTTTGTAATTCTGTAATTTTTATGAATTAATTATGTTTAATTCTATATTATGGATACAATTGTGGTGAATAGATGGTATGATTTATAATTTTTAGGAATTAATTATAATTAATTCTATTTATTCGTGAATATAATTTCTTCTAATAAATTAAAAAAATTTATAGGAGATTCGTAGGTTGATTTTCTTTGATAAATTAGGAGAATTTATATGAGATTTGGGTCCTTAAATTTGATAATTTTATGATATAATATTTATATATATGTGGTATAAAAATTCGTGGATTATCTGGTTATAGGTTCTGTTGACTACAAAATAGGTAAATGAGTTGGAGGGGAATTGAAAAAAACACTTATATTTATATGTTTAAAGTTTTGATTAAAGGTGGAGTTATATTCTCTTATATGATTATGGGAAAATGAGATATTTATTATTATGCTTATTTATTTTTAATTATAGTTATCAAGAAATGTGTTTCTAATCTTATTCTATTTATTTTAACTTATTTTATTTATCTTCAGTTATACATTTATCATACTTTATATTTATTTATCTCCAGTTACATATTCGTCCTATCTTATATTCGTCCTATTTTATATTTATTTATCTCTAGTTATCCATTATTCTTATTTTATTTATCTTCAATTATGCACTCGTCATATATAATATTTATTTATTTAGTTATCTCTAATTATGGATTAGTCATATTTTATTTACCTCCAATTATATATTAGTCCTCATTTATAGTTATTTATTTACCTCCAGTTACACACAAATCCTTTTTTTTATATTTATATTTATGCTCAATTTTACACTTGTACTTATTTAATTAATTTATATTTATATTATTATATTATTGTTTAAATTTTCTTAAAGAATAAAATATTTTATTTATGAATATTTGACAACATCATTGATAGTTGAACCTTGGAGATTGAAACGACTAATAAGAGTAATTAATTATTGGCTCATTTATTCTTATTAGTCACTACAAAAATTAATTCAAATCATCATAATATAAAATAAATGGAATATATTGATAAAGTTGAAAAGATGATTTTATATATCATTTTAAGATTATATTATTTTACATAATAATTTTTCTCAATTTCCCTATAGTTATCACTTGTATATATTATAACTAAAATATTAACATACACTACTAGAATTTGTTTTATTTTCTATGGGATCTTTTTACCAAATTTTTGTAAAAATTCACAAAAAACAAGTTTCCTGCAAATTTTTATAACAATTTTTGTTAGCACGTAATTAGCTCATATATAATAAATTATCCAAGGATTTAATATTCACAAAAATTCACTACAAAAATTTATATAAAAAAATTCGTAAGTAATTTTTTACAAATTTACATCCGTATATAATTTCTTGACATTTAAATTTGTATTTAATTTCTTATAATTTAAATCTGTATGTAATTTTTTACCAATTTAAATTTGCAGGTAAATTTTTACCAATTTCAAATTCAAAAGTAATTTTAAGTTTACAAATAATTTCTTTGTAATTTTAGATTTGTAAGGAATTTTTTGTTAATTTTAAATTCGCAACAGACGAAGTTTTTATTTTCAAAAATTTGCAAGAAATTTTGTATAAATTTTAAATTATATATATATATATATATATATATATATATATATATATAAAAAGAAATGGACAAAAAAATATTTTTATTATATTATATTTTATTACATAATTAAATGATTAATAAAAAAAGTTTTTTTTGTTTATTTGACTAAAAAACTAAGATAAAACAAAAATTAACATGAAAAGTTTTTTTAAGAGAAATATTTAGTCTTACATCAACATGATTGGTGTGAATTGCAAGACAAAACATAAATAAAGCAAAATACTATTATATTATATGAATGTAATTAACACAAATGAATGAAATGAAATTGTTTAGAAACATAAGATTGTCTTGAAAGAGATATTAAAATAAATAAGAGTTGTCCAAAATTCATCAAACCAAATTTTTGTCATTGTTAGAATCATACCAAATCTTTAATCCCGAAAATTCAAATAAAAAAGTGTGAATGACTAAACTCAAACATTAAAGTGTCAAAACAAATCAAATTTAATATAAATAATTTAAAACTTTAAAAACCTTATAAAAAAATATATCCAAGCAAATCATTGTTGTTGTCAAAATCACATCATTTCTTTAATTCTATGCAATTTCATTATCACCATCAATAATTAAGTGTTATAACAACTAAAGAATAAAATTTTAAATATTACTATCTTCAATATGATCACTATCTTTATCGTCATCATTTTCATTGCTATGTTGAGATGATGAAAATGGGTAGGAAGAAGATGCAACAAACCTTAAGTATTACATTAAGGTTACTACTTGATTCTTAGTTTCAGTCAACTATTTTTTCATTTTTAGCTTATCCTTTCTTTGTCTTTGTAACTTTTGTCTCATTTCTTGTTTTTATTGTTCTTGCCTATGTAATGATTCATTTAAGGCTTGAATTTGACTCCTTAAAGCATCAACATTTTCAAGATTTGACTACTTAGTTGAAGATATGATTAATAGTTTGCCTAGATCTAAGACCAAATATTCTTCCCTTATTTTTCCCAACTGAACATCCTCATATCCAAATCTGATGACATTTGATTCATGGATTGTTCATGATGAAGGCATGACAAGAGGGGAGTCTTCTAGTTCTACCCTATCTTTATTTTCCATTAGCTTAATTTGAAATCCCTAAGTTGAATTGAGTAGAGTTAATTTTAGTTTACTTGTTGATCTTGACTTGGGTTGGCTTTTTTACTAGAGTTGACTTGACCCAAGTCAACATTGCTAATCTAGTTTCATTTGTGTATCTTGTAGGTTAAGCATGGATAAGAGGATGGTTATGACTCTCCACATCGCAAGCTAGGATTGGACCACATGTGCATGAGGAGGAAAGCATAAAGAGAGAGGTGTTTTATGGTGGTGAATGAGACAAATGTGGTCTACTCCTTAGTCTTAGCCAAGAATCACCATAGGAAGTCCAACATTTCATTTGTCTTTTCCTTGCTTTCATGTTAGGTTTGTAGAAGATACTTTTTAGGGTTTGCAAATGTACCCTTTTAGAACTTTTGTTATTTGCTAAGAAGCCCCCAAGACTATCTATTTAAGGAGTGCTTCTTCTCCTTTGTAGGGGTTGAACATTTGAAATCAAAATACTCCTTCGTCACACCATATTTTTGTGAGCATCTTCTCCCTAGGGTGGAGACTCCATGACCTTATCTTGCTCCTATGCAAGTGGCGGTTTCACCACTTATCTCTTGACTTGGTGTGCCTACTATGGCCCTTGTCCAAAGAGTGGCGTGTTTCATCACCATCACCATCTTCTATATCTTACATTTTGTTGTTCTTTTCTTCTATTTTTACTCCTTGTTCACGTGTTGTTTTGCTAATCAATATTAATTCCATTCACTCCTCTCTTGAACCGTTGGAAATGCACCTTCACTTCTAGATAGCTTACTATCTTAATGTCCAGTGAGAATTTTTCCTAGGTTTTCTTAAGTAATCCAACACCCTATTTCAAAGAACTAAAGTGAACCTCCATTCACTACAAGAAAAACATCAAATAGTGACCGAAAATTCGGTCACTAAATGTGCAAAATCGGTTACTAATTAAAATAGTGACCGAAATAGTGACCAACTGGAATCGGTCACTATTTCCTTGGTCACTGATTAGTGACCGATTCAGTGACCGATTTAGTGACCGATTATATATAACCCAAATCGGTCACTAAATTAATGAAAAAGTTAATCAATAACAAATTTAATTATTTTTATTATATCTATTATTTATTTTCCCTATCTCTTAATTATATTATATTTTGCTTATTTAAGTTTTTATTTATATTTATTTAGTTTAACTTATTATTAGGTGGTTTATTGTCATTGTCAGGATTCGAACCGGTACCTTAGAGTTGGAGGCTGAAACTCCAACCACCGAGCTACTAGGATATTTTAATAATAACTTACAAATAAATTATATTTATATACAAATAAATGTATATCTCGTATAAATATATAAATATAAAATCTATAAATAAAAATATATTTATATATTTTAATATATATTTAAATATTGATATATTTAAATATTGATATATTTATATAGCATAATGTATATTAATATATGAGGGGATAATATTGATATATTGATATATTTGTGTATATATATATATATATACACAAATATATTTATATATATATTTATATATTTATATATTGATATATTTATATATTTATATATTTATATTTTTATATTTTGATATATTTATATATTGATATATTTATATATTTATTTATATCCTTATACATTTATATCTTTATATATTTATATATTTGAAAAAAATATTAAATTTT